GGTCAATTGAAACAAAACAACTTGGTCAATTGAAACAAAACAACTTGGTCAATTGAAACAAAACAACTCGGTCAATTGAAACAAAACAACTTGGTCAATTGAAACAAAACAACTTGGTCAATTGAAACAAAACAACTCGGTCAATTGAAACAAAACAACTTGGTCAATTGAAACAAAACAACTTGGTCAATTGAAACAAAACAACTCGGTCAATTGAAACAAAACAACTTGGTCAATTGAAACAAAACAACTTGGTCAATTGAAACAAAACAACTTGGTCAATTGAAACAAAACAACTCAATCCAAACATAAATGTTCATTTGAACCTGAGAATTAGAAACGATGATCCGCACTGTTCCTCACTTGATGGCTTCTTCTGAAATAACATTGGAGCATACAGACCTGCTGCATACATTTTTTTTTTTTTTTGTTAAACCAGAATGTGTTCTAAATATTTTTGTTCAAGTGTTTATCCAAAACCAATTTAAGAGTACTCATTAACTGCATTATTTTATGTTTAAAACCAAAAGGACGAGAGAGTTTAAAAAAACTGGCCAACCTAGATCTCCAGGAGACATTCCCAGATCGAGTGATAGATTGTAATCTATATAGTATTTGATTAATTTATGCGCACAAAAAAATACTAATCAAGAAGAGAAAACAAAAATTATTTTTATCTTTTCCAAATATTTTTATCTTTGCATGTTAACCTATTTTTGACTTATGTGGAAAGCAAAGTTTGCAATTGCAAAAACAGTCCTTTAAAATGAAATATAGGGGAAAATAGTAAGTGATTTAACACTTTATAAAAAAACTTCGTATGGTATTAATACTTTTAAACTAAGGTAAAATTTGATAACCAGATGCTTATATTTGATTAGTGTGTGTGTTGATGGGGGGTGGGGTGTAAGGGGGTAAGGATAGAAAGAGCCTAATCCTAAAAGACATCCACTCAGGGAAGCAACTAAAAGTCACCTCTCAGTAAAAGAAATCCACCTCAAACTCAGAAGAGCCACCAGAAAGTGATAACCATTGTATTGGTTGACTCACTATTATCAGATCTCTCAGAGCTTTCATTATTTTCATAATTAATTTTCAAAACCAAAACTGGCCGAAATTACCAGGTCATAGATGACTAAACTGTGAAAACTCAAACACATAATTTAATTTGAATGACCACCTACCGTCTCCTGTTTTCATGATTTTTTAACCAATCCTGGAACAATCCTGTCATCATCCCCCCAATCAGTATTTGTAGTGGGTTGTAGATCAGGAGAGGTATGGACAGAAAGCTAATATTTGGGTTCCCATCAAAGATAATGTCGATGACAGGAATTCCTGTGATAAATTAAGAAAATTTAATCCAATAAGAAAAAAGGGGTTGTTTTTTTTCTAAAAAAAAATTATTTATGATTATTAAAATAAAAGAAGAAAAAGAACTAAAAAACAAAGTTTGCTTATGTGCGCCTTTTATTATTTTCCATTGTCTCATAAAATGTAATAGTAGCAAAACGATTACTATCAATTAGTCTAAAACAATAATTTATGGAGAGTGAAATATGAAAGATATTTCCTTGGAGTTTTAAAAATGTTTGAAGAGAAAAATTGCTAGAACCCATGATCCATTGACAAAAATTTATGTGGGGAAGAAGTAAATAAAAACCTAATTCTAATAGCTTTAAACAAAATCAAGAGTAAAATTATAAATTTATTTTTCCAGTAAATACTGTATTTATCGGCGTATAACACGCATCTTTTCTCCCTGAAAATAGGAGACAAATGATGTGTGCGTGTTATATGCCAATATAATGTTATGGACCCATAGTACATATCGCATAGTGGCGCGAATGGTGCGTGTTATACGCCTGTGCATGTTACATGCCGATAAATACTGTAAATGTCCCTTGAGACCTCAAAAGCCATCAGTACATTTTTGAGAAACCATGTCTCGTCCCTTAAAGAAAATCCAAGGAGCTATAATTAAAA